ATCATTATAAGTACCGATTTTTGTATACCCTTTTTTACTTATTTTAAATTAATATTAATACTTTTTAATTATTAATAGGTGTTTAAAATCAATAAGTAAACGTTGTCTATTTATAAACAATGATAACAAACGTTTTTATTTATTTTCGTGTTCTTTTAAAAATTGTTTCAAAATTATTTTATCAATGTTTTTTTTTGTTGCAAAGTATTTTTTTTTATTTAAATAATAGTATCTTTATGAATTTCTATTCTATTTAAAAAGAGTCGCACATCTTATGATTATTATTGATGTCAAATTTTCACCTGAGAAACACTATTTAGATGCAAAAGAAAAATTAAATTTGCGATACAATATAGGGACCCAAAAATTTCATTCAATCATTCTAAGGAGCAATGGAAATATATTAGGTAAGGAGTATTCTAGTTTACAAAATAATATTTTGTTCCTTGGAATGATTGAATGAAATTTTGGGTTTGTTTGGGTTTGGCTGTATTGTAACGCAAATCTAATATTTTTTGCATCTAAATAGTGTTTCTCAGCTGAAAATTTGACAGCAATATTCATAAGATGTGCGACTCTTTTTAAATTGGATAGAAATTCATAAAGATACTATTATTTAAATAAAAAAAATACTTTGCAACAAAAAATAGCATTGATAAAATGATTTTTAAAAGAACACGAAAATAAATAAACACGTTTGTTATAATTGTTTATAAATAGACAACATTTAATTATTGATTTTAAACACCTATTAATAATTAAAAAGTATTCAAATTAATTTAAAATAAGTAAAAAGAAAGTAGACAGTGACAAAAATCAGTACTTATGATTTATAGATATATTTTTTTTAATTTTCAAAAATCAAAAAAAAAATAGTAATTATGGAGGGCCCATGACCGGACCGGTCCTAAAAGTTGTTAAAAGAATAGTAGTTTGAAATAAAATATTTTCACAAAAATCGAAAGATACACTCACTTTCAAAAATACGATTTAAAATTTCAAACTCAAAAATCTTAATCAAAAACACTTTGAATATTTTTTTTGTATTTTTATCTGTAAAGGCCATCTAAAAACAAAGATTTTTATAAAAAAAAGCTTTAATTTGGACCATTATTAAGAAAGTTATGACCAAAAAACCAAAAAAGAGCGTTTTTTTTGAAAATTTTATAACTTTTGAACAAGTAATCAAAAAAATCTGAAAATTTACCAGAAAGGATTTTTTGAGGGGTACTAAAAAATATAAAAAAATTAAGGAAATCGAAAATTTAAATTTTTCGAACCGTCCGATTTGGCGTGGAATGCCCCATATATAAGTCTACGAACTGTGTAGCTATATATCCATCATTATCAAAATCTTCATTAATATATGAAACAAGTTTGTTTATAGCCAATATGGTAGAACAGCTATTGGGAAAACCATACTGATTTGAATTCACAATACCAATATAGACTCATAAATTTTTGCAAAATATGGTATTATGGATATGGGTCTAACATTGGAATTATCATTTTTAGAGAGTCTGGAAAAATACTCGACTTGATACTAGCAATTAGTATGGTATGCCTTACAAAAGGTCAGTTGAAACTTTTTATAGTTATAATAATACAGGGTGATTCACAACTTATCCAAAAAAATTTGGGAATAGATGCGGCATGAGAAATGGAGTCAATATCGTAAAAAAAAACTGTAAAATCCTTATAGTTTCCGAGAAAAAAAATATTGAAGTTGTAGTACATTCAACCACTACATAGCTGGACAACTGTAGTCTCTAGCGTCATTCACCTCGTGGCCTCAGCGACTCCGAATACTGAATTCGGATTTTGCAATCGTCGTTGCGATATTTACATGTTATCTGTGGTGTTTACAATAGGTTCTTAGTAGTTAGTGTCAAAAATGGGTAGTTAGTGTCAAAAATGGTTTACGTGTACTCGGAGTTGATGGNCCAACATTTTAGATAGAGGTAAGTTCAGTCAAATCGCTCCTTTACATAGTCATCGCAATTAGAGTCTAGATTTCATTAACTATCTTAAAAATATATAAGCAAGTTTAATAATAAAATTACAACTTATTTTTTATAAAACGCATTTACGTTCGTTTAGCCAATATCTTTCCTTGCCGCTCTTACACATATAAGCCTATTGATTTCCTTCGGTTAGCAATCTATTTTCGAAGAATATATGTCCATATAAAATGGACCTATTCCTTAGGTAATAACTTTTGTCAACACGGAAAATGCGTTTTCCACCATTTCTACACCATTTGCCTCGCTTTGTTTGCTGGGAGATGATAAAAAAGGTGTTCAAACATATATCTGAGCCCTTTTTATAATAAATCACGCACGACAGCTGAAAATAAAAGACAAACATAGTATTATCTGACTGTTATTAACGTATTTTTCTGATCGAGCCACTTTTTCCGGCCAAGGAAATGATTTTAAATTATTCTCTTCATATCGTTGTTAATATCGCGTACAATGTATAAGTGATTGAAACCTCGTGTATTTACGATCTAATATTTCAAAGTGGTGTGAAGATTTACAATAATTTGAACAGTCACGTCGGATAGAGGTTCTAAAGTCATTAATTCTGTTTTAATGTTTTGGTATGTTGGTGATGAGTATTCCATTCTTGTCGAAGTGAAAGTGACATTTTTACTATCGACATATTATTTGAGTGATACCGAAAAAAGTTCAACAGGGCTCAGATCAAGGTGGCATGGTGGTCGTCTAAGATTGTATGACTCTTTTATGTAAAATTTGATTGAGAAATATGTTAGTTTGATGAAATATCACACTCTAAAACTAACTCTATATTCTTTTAGTAAAAACTGACAGTGTCAGGAGACCACAGAAATTTGAAAGGCATTGTCTTAAAAATTAAAATTAATGCAGTTTATACGATTTTTTATAGGTATACACACAGCAAAACCATAGTTAGCTTAGCTATTAATCTTAAAAAAGTTTGCATTTGAATTTTTTTAGAAAATTGTCATTTTGTGAAAAAATTTAAAGTATTTGGTACATAAAAATGTAACATCCATGGAAATTTATAGACAAGAAATGAAATCACCAAATTGCGTGCAAGTTTGAGTTTAGTTTTTTCCTCAATGGAGTAGAAAAGTGTTGGAAACCGAAACAAAAGTCCGACGTTGTTTTATTACATGCCATCACATTATTCTTAACCTTATTATTTTCTTTTCCACTTTTTTATATAATTCCTTAATAGGTTGACCTAAAAGTCACCTTGCCACTATAATTTCAATGTTTAGATTTCTTTAATTCTTTATAATCATAATTTTTATGAATATTTAGTGGCTTCTTGTCAATATTGAACACACAAAACATGAATAAAATAAGATAATCCTTCATGAAGACAATGAGCTTATCGTCTTTTGTTTTTGAGTACAAGGCGTCAAAAATAATTTTTTGAAATTAAATTTTAACCATCTTTCCCAAAAAATTTGTTACAGATATGGTTTTGGTTACAGCATTGATAATTTTTTAACATTTGCTGGAGATCTCTAATTACTATCTTGCCTAATGATTACTGTCCTCCTTCACCCTCCTTATTAGCCAGACCTGTCTCCTTGCGATTTTTTGTTATTTCCCTCTAGAACTTTTAGTTCTGCATGCTTTGTATATAATAAGTGAATACAAAAATTTACAAGTTCCACTTTTTATTCGTCGAAACAAATGATTAATAAGTTGACATTTTATAACAATGTTAATATAATTATACATACAGAGTGTTTGTAAATAAGTGCGAAATATTTTAGGGGGTGGTTGCCAGAGTTATTTTGTGAAAAAAAGTTAATTTAAACATAGGTCGAAATATACTTCGTTTCCGAGATACAGAGTTTTTAAATTTTATTTTTTTTATTTAATTTTATTCATTATTTCAAAGAGTTTTAAAGATATTGGCTCGGAATTTGATGATTGTAATTCATTTAGAAATATTGATAACAACCTACTACATAATGTATCAATAGAAATTAAAAATACACAACTTGCAATAAAATATTTTTTTTACAAAACAAATAAAATAATAAAACAATTATGCAGTCTGTAAAAAATACAAAAAAAATGCATGATTTAAAAGATTTAAAAAAGCCTTTATTCTTTTGATAAGATAAGGACTGAAACTATGAGAAAAATATATTTGTTAAAAAGCGAGTATATTTTCCCTTTTCTGCAAATATTACAATGGGATATTTGCATAAAAAACGTTTTATTAAATACTACTCTACACTGAAGGTTAATAACTTCTTATATTATTTTCAAAACCTTCATTAATATATTAAACAAGTTTGTTTATAGCCAATGTGGTAGAACAGCTATTGGGATAACCATACTGATTTGAATTCACAATACCATGGGTGTCAAAATAATTGGTAACTTGTATTTTCAATGTAAACTCATAAAGTTTTGCAAAATGGGATATGGGTCTAAAATTGGAAGTATCATTTTTAGAGAGTCTGGAAAAATACTCGACTTGATACTAGTAATTAGTATGGTATGCCTTACAAAAGGTCAGTTGAAACTTTTTATAGTTAGAATAATATATTTTTGTACATAAATAACACTTCAGAAAGTATTCTAAGGCATCAGACTTTGTATGATGATGAAAATGTAGTCTAGGATTGTGGCCTGAAGTCACTGAATGCACTGCCAAATAATGTAAATAGAAAATAACGAGGACCTTAAACCATTCCTATATCAGAAGCTTCAATGAGTAATTATTTTAAAACTTACAGTGTCTAGACGAAAAAATATATAATTAGGAGGATGCATAAAAAATACATAGACCTCGTGGTCGTTTGCTTGAATTTCAATTTAATTCGCTCATATATAACAGGCAGCAGTCTAGCAGAAAAGACTTTTCAGCAAACACGCAACGGAGAGTAATAGGCATTTTTTTTTTGTATGTGAATTGCGTTGTGATGCTATTCTGGGCTCATAAATCTACTTTATAGGTGAGAAGGGTTAGGCTAATGTACTCACATCTCGACGCGCTCCACGTTGATGCCCCAGGAATCCGTCGCTTCATCCAGGAGTGCCTTCATGTGCTGGGAAATGCTCTCACGTTCGCTAAGTATTTCGTGAAGTGGTCGCTGGCCCATTATATTACGCAGAGTCGTTTGAGCAAGGAGACGGGTGGAATGATGAGCATTTTCCACGTTGGCAATCGACACGGTGGCATTCGATACCCGATAGTAGACCACTGCGTCCACGGATACGGTCACGCTGTCCTTTGTCAGTACCTGCAGAAAAAAAAAGTTCAAAATGACATATCGTTATCTCTGTTTCAGTTATTTTACGAAATAGAACATAGCATAGTCAACTGTTACTTTAAACAAAGCTACAAGAGGTTCAATTACGATGGCATAACTTGATGACTTTTTTTTCATTCCAACGGTTGCTTAACACGTTCAAATTTAAGAATATTTGATCATTTGTGTGAATTTATCCACAGATTCCCAGACAAGTATCTTAACGTATTGTAACAAAATCCGGGATTCGTGGTAGATAATTTGTCAGTCAACAATAATTATTGAAAAGTTAAGGGTCTTCAAGTAGGTTTATCGTCGCCATAAAGTCGTTTACCTCTTGTCACCGGGAGTAATAAATTTGCAAAGCTCGACCATCGCAATCCTTCGGAGAAGGCCTCATGAAATTTAGCAACGATTCTGAACAAGTAGACTTAGATCGTCGGGGTTCATGTGTTGGGCATCTGGTACCGACTAACTGCGTTGGTTCAGCCCATGGTGAAGGGAAAATCTATATTTCTAATAACGCGCAAAATACATTCCAAAAGACGTAGGAATTCCAAGATATTTAAATAAATTGTTAGAATACTGTGAGGAAAATAATAATAGATCAAATAGGTGGTTTTTAGGCAGATTTTCACAAGAGGAAGGTGTAGAGTTACTTGTAAGTTCAGTTTAGTCACAAAATTATCCATACAATTGTAAATACAGTCAATTAGTTATTAACATGGAATATTTAAGCCGTTTCAACCCCCGATATTCAGGGAGCCCACCAAAAAATAAGAACAGAAACTTCTATACCCAAGAAGTTGTGTTTTGTTGCTCTTCCAAATTAAGTATCCATCAAGTGAGAGTACAACCAACACCTGGATTATACTCTTCGTGAGCGACGTACGGTAAGTGTCTAAAATCATTCTCTGAACGTACAACATTTCTAAGTCCCCAAGCATCAATTGAAGTGTAGATGATAATTAATTAAACTCCCTTTCGAGAAGTAAATGGTAAATTCTTTTACAAGTTAATATCGTTATGATACTGCTCATAACGGTAGATGGTTAAATAAAGAAATAAAACCTCAGAGTACGGGCAAACAAAGAAAATGTGGATATCTTTACTAGTAGCGGAATAGAGAGGAAAATATCATCAATAACACATATTTTTGGACACTGAATCTGAATCTGACCTCTTTTTGGATCTTATACGTCAGGATTATTTGTAAATCGTTAACTTATACACGGGTATCTTGAAGAGTCCTCATTAGTGGATTCCAAACATCCACACCAATTCAACGCCAAACCATTCGAATACAAATAGTAACATTAGGTATTTCATGGTCTTTTCATGGGAATTATTCAAGCCCTCTGACTTCAACTTCCATAAATATATACTACCATAAGCCTGAAAATCTGAGTGACAGTACCAGCAGGCCCGTATCTATTGACGATCTTGAGGTGTTTCAAAAATTTTGAAATGGGGAACTTGGTACCTACTCTATTACCGTTCATTATAAATCACCATAATTCATGAGCTCAATAATTCAATTTACATAACTCCTATGAAATTGGAAACGGAGTAAAAATGACGCAGGAAATCAAATGATCACGATATTTATGGTTGACTAACCGTGAAACCAAGACTGAATTAATTCTAACCTAATCCTTTATCAGAAATCATCATAACCTCATAAAACTAAGAACCTTGTAACCCCATAACCGCTACGAGACTGAAAATGCAGTGTAGAGGTTTGGATTTTTTCTCACTGTTCAATGCATCTCAATCCCATAGGGTTGTGGAACTATGGGGTTCTTGGGTCTATAATAAAGGGTTACTCGATTCTTAGTCAATTATAAACATCGGATCAATAGAATTCCTTCTCTCAGTTCATATCGTTCTCAATTTCATAGGGTTATCAGTTATTGGGCTTATGATGTTATGGTGGTTTTTGATAAAAGGTAATACAGCTACTGATTTCCCCTATTCCAACGCTTTGGAAACCCATCAAGATCGTCATTAGATAGGCACATCCTCGTACTTTCAGGCTTATGCTATTATGCACTATAGGGTTCTGTTGTTATGGGGTTAAGTTAGGGGTTTCAAGGTTATGCAGCTTGTTTGTAAGGTTCATTAAATACTATTTTCACTATTCGCAATCGAATGGTTTGGCGTTGAATGTGTTGGGATCCTGGAATCCACTATTGAGGACTTTTCAAGATATACCTTCATATAAATAAAAGATTTACAAAAAATTTTGATTCAGTATCCCAAAATTGTAATAACATGGTGTGCGTTACAACAAAGACAACTTTTTTTGTAGATCTGTGTACGTAATTAGTTATACCGAAACTAGAATAGAACCAAATGAAACATTAGCAATAAATATTAATCACTGAGAGCAATAAATATTGATCACTGAGACTCATTCGAATTGAAACTCAGGACCCGTTCTGAAGACATGAAATTATTAGTAAACAGTAAAATATCTGTCCTGGAATTATAAAATTACAAGAAATATTTGGCGAAACCGCGACGTCCAGTATTGGAAATTTTTGACATAGCAAGTATGATGTTAGAGATAATTACACTGAAAGTATTGGACCTAAGTACCTAAGTATTTATTAAAGCAGAACAAAAATTTATTTATTTTTTTATTTTGAAGATTTACAAATTGTGTAGTATTTGCATATAATTATCTTTTTCATTACTATTTTTATGTGATGGGGTATTACTTCCACACTGAAAGAATATTTTTTTAAATAAATAACTTGTTGCACCAGAAACGATTAAAAAACATTTCTTTTAGTGTAGAAGAAAAATGTAATTAAATTGAATAGTAACATTGACAGTTTAAGAAATTATCATCTGAATGAAAGAAAATATCAACTGAAACTTGACATTTTTTAAATTTAGTATCTACGTTTTCCTACCTTTATAACTTTAATACCAGTAAATTTTTTTAACATTTTAATACCCTTTAATTATTTACGCCCTGGTAAAATTTGTCATCGAAGCTGATATGCAAGAATAACGAAAAATGTATAATAAAGCAGAAATAAGCCGTCATAAAACGTATGTATAAAAAAGGTAATTTCTATAAAAACAGCTATATTTTAGCTTTTTATAGTTTCCCATAAAAATACCATCTCTTTAAAAAATCCATTAAATAAGGTAATCCAGTTTTTAAATTAATCGCCATAATATCTGCTAACATTGCAGCAAGGAATTTGTATACAGGGTGTCCCAGAGCTATATTGACAGGCATTATCTCGGAAACTAGTCGAGATAGAAAGAAATGTTATATAGAAAAGGTTTTCTGCTTAAAAAGATGCGTTTAATCATTTTATTTTCAAATATACAGGATGCCTCAAAAAGATGGTATATTGCGGAAATTCAATTTTTTAAATGGAACACCCTGTATATTTTTAAGTTTTTGGGTTTTACTTTTATTTTTGAACATATCATCGTGTTCAATCGCACAGTGTACGATTCGTGCATGCATATATCCCATATTACGATATACATTTTGATTGTTAAAAAAAATTAAATCACAAAGCCGGAAGTGTTACTCTGCCAAGAAGCAACAGGTAGTTTAATAACAAGAGCTGCACCAACGAACATACAAGACTAACCAGTGCAGAAGGAGATCAGGCTTTGAAAGCTGTTACAATATATGACCGTGTTGCTTCACACTCCAAAGGGCAGGTAAAGCCTGTTTGTTTATTATTTGTTGTTTATTCAGTGAGCCACATCGCTGCATCTACACAGGTAACACAAGGTGACTCTGTTGAAGTATCAGCAGAATGTTGGCTGTATTTCCCAACCATCAGATTCTTTAAACAAAAACAAATAGGTTCTTCTTCAATTAATTATTGAGGCTACTTTTGTAACTGTAAAAACTTTATTATCGATTTGTAGCAGTTTTTTCATATAATTTAACTTCCTGGTGTAGTAATCTAATTATTAGGTAGGTAGCTTAAGAAAACTGCTTTGTTCACAGTTACGTAAAGTCTAATATTTATTTATTTTTTATTACAGACTAAGGAAAAATATAAAAAATGGTTATATGATATTGATAAACTATTTATTTCCCACAATTAAGAAAAAGCAAAAAAATTGTGTGAGGATAGGAACCAGGAAATATTGAAGTATTTCGTCAGATCATAGTTTACGTCGCTATTTCAAAATATTAATTTACCCAATTTTTCTCATGTAACATTTTTGCTCAAGTTCAAATTAACATTCCACGTATGATCTTTTACAGTTTTTTTTAATCCACAAAATAAATTCGATATGACTGGTAAGTAAAACTATTTGTCGATGCAAAACATTAAAGTAAATTTACAAAACTGCTTTTACAGACATGTTTCTTGTGGTGCAATAAAAGTTTTAATAACTTTCGCCTCAGTTTTGAGTATATAATCGCATTTACTAACTACAAACAGCTTAAATTGGATGCGTAACCATCCAATTTTCAGTTTTCTGTTGACCTTTAGCCTGGCAAACATCACTTTGTTTCATAAGAGGTAGTAACTGATGGTGTCTGCTTTGCAAGAGGGGGCTTAGTCCCTCTTTTTACATCCATTCTGTTTTTACAGGATCTGTTCCAACTTTTCACAAAAGGATTTAATGTTTGTTAGTTGTTTTCCGCCGAGTTATCTCTTAAAAGCATAGAAAAGGTACGTAGCATTTTATAATTAGTTTATATTACAGTAAATCCAGGTAATTATTTTGTGGAAAAACGTTCGGACACGTCGATTAGTTTTTTTAGTTGCGGATTTTTTGACATAAGAAAATTGTATACAGGGTGTCTCAAGAAGAGCATATACAGTCATCATTATTTTTTTTAATGGAACACCCTGTATATTATGCCATTTTTGAATTGTACGGCAAATTCTGAACACTTTTTGTATAACATACCAGATTCTTAAAACCAGCGATTTTCGTAATAATGCCGTTTGAAAATTGATATTTTGAAATACACACAAGTAGGTAATTAAATAAAATGTTTAAATTGAACAACCTTGAAAAATTTTTTTAAAGCCAACAAAAACAACTTGGTATGCCAAAACAAAACAATTTTCTTCGTATTAATAGTTTTTCATTCCTTGACCCTAGACCATTTTGATGTAGTATTTTGTGACAATGAAAACCAAACTATCACTATTTTAAAAATGCATTTATCTGAGAAAGAACTTATTGAAGTACTTATGATGATTGGTTTTGGAGACAGAGACAACAAGAAGTGTGTAATGTATTTAATGTAATTCATCCTGATCGACCTCCAATTACTAGATCTACTGTCAGCAAAATTGAACTGAAATTTGCTGAGCACGGCCACGTTAGAGATTTATCTAAAGGAGGACCAGCAGAAATATCAGAAGGTTCTAAACTAGACGTTTTACTAGAAACTGTAAATAATCCCCGGGTAGCCGTTAGCACAATCTCCAGGAATAGTAATTTGTCATCAGGATCTATGTCACAAATACTCCGAAAAAATATCCTTATTAGGTTCAATTGTTACATGAACTATTAGAAGTCGATTTTGTCCGAAGAACGTTTTGTGAGCAGATAATTGAGATGAATAGATTTCACACGAAAGATTTTTTCTGATGAGGCTACTTTTGTTTTAATCAGACAAAACTGCAGGTACTGTGAAAATTCTCGTTGGATACAAGTCTGTCACACACAGCATAGTCAAAAAATAAATGTTTGGGCAGGTATTGTCGAAAACCGAATTCTTGGACCTTATTTTTTTTTAAGAAAATTTAAATAGAGGACGCTACTTTGACTTTCTTCAAGTTTGAACTCATCCCCGCTTTGGTTGTTGTGTTTGCTAATCCAGAAGATCCATATATTCCTCATATTGACATGGTTCCAATACGATGGGGCAATACAATTTCTTGACTAAACTTTCCCTAATAAACGATTGGATGCAGACGTCCTATTGAGTGACCACCAAGGTCCCCAGATTTAACCCCCTTAGTTTTCTTCTTATGGGGTTATTTGAAATCTAAAGATTATGTGAATAGACCAAATAATTTTGATGACCTGAAACAGAGAATACGCCAGCAGAGGTAATTGAAAACGTTCAACGGGAAACAATCCTTCGACTTCAAAAATGTATTGAAGTAAGCAATGTTTTATGATTAAACATTTTTTTTTCATTTTTCACATTTCAAACGTTACTATTACGAAATGCGCTGATTTTAAAAGTTAAATAATAATAATAATAATAAGAGTGTGAGTGAGTAATTCTGTTACAATGAAATTTTACATTATAAAACAAGTCAAAACACACACACTGTCAAAAACCTAACCTCAAAAAAGTCGACATAATATGTCACTGGAAGAGACTTCTAACAATTGGTCCGAAACTAACTAGTTGCCACGTCATCGGTTTAGTCTTCTTGGTGCTTTGCGAGACATGTTTTTGATAAGAAATTGGAGATTAAGTACTTTGGATAGTATTTATATTACCCGCATTCTTCTGAAGCATTCTGATTATTTAAATTCGTGTTTCCTTAAGAATTAATACCATACAAAACAACGAAGATAGAGACCGTTATTATGTATGTGATGTATGCCCACAGTTTTAGACAAACGCCCTACACTGATTGTTTACATTTGTTCTCATCATTAAACATGAAAATAGTGTTATGATAAATTTTAATTTTATTTTTCTTTCGATAATAAAAAAATATTAGTACAACACAAACCCAACAACACTGTGTTGTTAAGGTATGCTGTCAATTTGTTTCGAATACTTTTATAAAAACACCGGCTTTATTGAAAGCTCACATTAGCAAAGCAAATGCAGATCGTCTTCGCAGAGTCTTTGCTTGGTAGTCTGTTCCACACAAATATAATTAGAGTTGCCGTACCTCCCACATTTATTAAGTTATGTTATATTTGATCCCTTTGCCCTATATTCTATTTGTATCCCGTCTTTTTCCATAGTATATTGGGAAAGAGAAACTGCAAACACGTTTTTACGAATCCTTTCATTTTCAATCGGTTCCTTCTAATTCTATTGCGCTCAAAAATTGTTTATTCATGCGAGTGTATTTATTTATTCGTTGATATGTTCATTGCAAACGTACCTTTGACCAACTTTATATGTACAAGTCCACTACATAAAATCCCCATGAAATACCCTAATTATGAACTGAAACTGTTAATTAAACTGATGAAGCTTGTTTACAGTCTCCCACTACGTGAAAACAGATATAATTGAAAACTAATTGCAACTTCAAATTGCTAAAAGGGGTACCTAAATGTATCTCTCATGAAAACAATATTGGATGTTTCAGTATTTTGTTTTTCATCGATTTATTAATCTGTTATAAAGGGTATTACGATAGTTTCCTTCGTAATTACATATATTATATTACTTCTCTCACTCATTATTAAAGTACCTATTAACCTAATTCAAACAAATCCTATCAAACGAGGTATCGAGGAATGTTGTTTGACTTCATTTGATAGGACTTATTTCAATTACCTTAATAAAGAGTAACCACCGACTACGTAATCTTATTAAGCTTAATAATGTAACCAAAAAGTGGGTGTATGATTTTTTATTCAGATCAATAATATTTCACAGTTGGAGATAGAATATCCAACTAAAATTGAATTTATTATTCAAATAACAAAAGTTTTACTATAGACGCAAAACTATTTTCATAAAAAATATGCTTTATTGACTGAATGTTTTAGCACAAGGGTTTATTTTATTTTTAATTTTTGTTCGCTTGTGACAAGATAAGAAAAAAAAATTAAAACTAACTAATGTGTGAAAAAATCCCTGCACCCTTCCTTGGAAAACTATCCAAAGGGACAAATATTCCGGGGTTGATCAAATATTTAGGTGTGTAATTCACTTCCGGCCGATCCGAAACAGTCCTCAATCTTTCCTTCCGAATTGAGTCATGAAAAGCAATAAGTCTCAGTAGATCAGTCATCCGGTTAAATACATTGGGCCACGATAGTGTTTAAATACCTTTTGTGAGAACCGTGGATGTAGGTATAGAAGGAGATTGATCTAGTGCCTAATCTAAATTGAATTTGGAAGATAACTCACCTCTTGCGGGGGGATGTCGTATGTCCTAGTTCGAAGATCCACTCTTGCGTAAGCGTCGATGCATGGCAGTATAAAGAATATCCCTGCAACAAAAATTACGTTGCTGTAGTTATGCAAATAGAACAAATATAATTTATTCCTCATGCCAGTTAATATTTTGTATATGGGTACTTTTAATCTCATTAGACTAAACTCACGTTTAAATATTATTAAAGCATGCCACCAAACTTTATATTTGAGAATAATTCTTAGAACACTGTACACAAGGAATATAATAAAATTACAATAATCAAGATAGGTTCATTCGTTGCCATTAGTATACAATGTGCATTACACTAAAAATTTCTAATAAAATTACACACTCGCATAAAGGCGGAAATACACATACCAGTAAAATAGGTAAGTAACTTGCATGCTAAGAAATGGCATATGCCGGCGGATGGTACACTGCTGATACATTTGCAAGTAAAATGGAATGCCTCGTTAGTATTATGGCTTATTGGCATGTCAGTAGGTAGCAAGTAGACACGTTTCGACATGCCGCTTGAACTCCCCCGAAACCCCCCGCCTCACATTGCATGCCAAAAAATCAAATGATGTGTAATTTACTTGAGCGCCTTCTACAGGCATGCCTTTTAATAAATACACATACCAGGGGCCATCTTCTGCAAGCTACTTGCATGCTATTGTGCAAGCAAGAGGCATGTGTATTTCCGCCTTAATAGACATATCGATGCCGCAAAATTTAAAATTAGTTGATACAAGTAATAGTTTTTTAAGTAGACAGTAAAGTACAAGATTTAATCCCGCGCTGATATTAAAAAAACCAATGCTTTAAATCTACTTTACTGACAGTTAATTGTAAGTAACGTTCAGATGAACGTTAGTGCAATGGTACTGCAGTTGTACCGTTGCATTGTACTTGTATGGCATTATCTACTCAGTTTACATAAAATTAGTATTATTTACTGTATTGTATGTTTTGTGGTGTTCTGTCAAAAATGATGTTGTCTGATTGGTCCTAGTATTACTATGAGACGAGCGTTATTCAGTATATTACTTAGGTACACAATCACATTGTTTCTATTTAAATCCATAAAAATAACTATTTATTATTTGAGATAGAAGAATTCACATCAACTCCGTCATAAATTATTGAATCAGCAAAGCAAATAGGGTGTATTTTATTACCAGAATAATCAAAGAAGTATATCAGCAAACATAAAAAAATGTATTGTTTATCGAGCTGGTACATTTTTCTGAATTAAACAAAGTATGAAATCTTTTTCACTATGCGATGCTCACCGCTATTTGAATGTCTACAACAACATCGATATTGGAAAGTATCTAAATTAAAAGCATTCTTGAAACGGCAATCGGGTGGATATCGTGTTAAAAAATCTCGCGTTTTAGAAAATAAACGAAATAAAAAATTTCTAATGGATGTCCCTGATGATATACGTATTTACGTACAAAAACAAAATATTTTTGTAAACGAAGAATACTGAATCTGGGTCGTGTCGATGTGATGAACTTTTTTATATATAATTCCACATGTAAATATTCTTATAACATTTACTTGCTTAGTCCTACATATAAAATTATTTACCTTTATTTATAAGTACGTGAAAATGATTCTTAAAATGTGTGGTTAGAATAACAGCAAACGCATGTTTTACAAACGCTTTTTTTTAGTTATTATTTTATTTGAGTAAATTTAAATGGTAACAATGAATAAACAAAACATCAAGGATTTTATTTTTGTGCTTACTTTTGTTCTACACGTTTTACTTTTAAAGATTTCAGTACCTAAAAACGCCAGAAATTTCACTATTTATCGGCCAGGAATATGGCCACCTTAAGGTCCATAACTCGTAAATCTATTGTTAGCAAAAAAATCCCTACTGCAGGTACATCAAGTGTTGGAAGCGATTTTCAGCTCCTAGTGAAAATATTTCAACCTACATAGACGAAGTAAATGTTTCAAAACAAACAGGACAAGAGATATCCCTTACAGGCTGTTCTAATTTCACTATAAATGTTTATAATAAATAAAATTACTTTCGTTAAAGTTTTAATTTTTAACTTAGGGGCAGCAAAAATTATTCTAATACCTAGGCAATACTTGCCTGACATCTGTCACTAAAACTATGCCTTTAATGTCGATAGGCGAAAAAGTTATATTATGCATATCATTCTGCAAGTTTCTGTAATTCAGTGGAAACATAAGTTTACATGAAAATATGTTACATTCCCATTAATATAAATAAATTAAAAATAAAGTATACAGCGCAATTTCGTGCTTTTCCTTTCCAAAGCAATCGATATTTACGATACTTAATATGTAATTTGACTAAAAACGGGGAAATTACTTTGTATTATTAATTAGAAAGCTTTTGGCTTCTTTTTCCAAGGAACAAGCTGCGATGTAAATGAAAGGAAGTAAATAGTCATTAATACAGCAAACGATAGGTATTCCTTAATGCAAAAGGAATGATTAATTGTAAACTAAATAATTAAACAGTTAAACATATCTCACGCCGACTGGAATACTGTTACAAAGTTACTATTGAAATAATAGCATCTTAAATTCTTCGTGCTTTTATTTCCTTTTCTAATGAAATTTTTCCGTATTTTTTTTGTTGTTAACATATCAAACTATTATAAAGAAATGGCACATTGTAAATGATTTTTTTTAATAAATTATATTCTTTCCCTCCCTTTTTAAAAAAGTTGTGTAGGTGTATTTCTTAATAGCTAAATGTGCCTTTTGCAAATTTGTTTATTAGTTATAAAGGTATTTTGTATTTAATTTCGACTTTAATCAATGCCACATAATTATACGAAAAAATGCAAAATAGTTATTAGCTAAAATCACTTAAACATCTCAGAACGTTAATAAGCTAAGTTATGATTTTCTTTCGGGTTTTAAATTAAAAAATAAGTTATCCCGTACTATTGAAAATTATATGAAGCCTCTTTTGCTGTGAGAAATAATTGCGTAAACAATATATTTACAGATAATAAATAAACGAGACATATTTTAGGATTATATCTTCCATAAAATGCGTTTCTAATTTAAAATAATTATGCTATTAAATAAAAACACTCTTCACTTAATTTCCTGGGAAAAAATCTGAAGTTTTTCATTAATTTGAGTACCTAGTTTTCCCGTCGATGAGCATTTTCCTTTTAGTTTCTGTCAAGCCGTATTTTAAGGTGAAATCTTTGTATTTTGTACACAAAAAACGGTCCAAGTAGAATAACCAGCATGGGCTTCAAGCGACAGCTTGTATATAACAATTTAACAAGGTCTGTCCGGTGATAATATGGTGTTTCTCATACTTTTTAACAACGTTAAATGAAGATTTACACTATTTACACATCATATTATTTACAGCATTTATTTTTCATCTAGTGGGACATCTATCTCGGGTTGACCTTGATTTTGCTGAACCATCCGTTGAAAATATATTTTAATTAATCATAATGATTTCATAAAATTACTAAACCTAAAATATTCATTCAGATGGTAACCTAAAATAATTGCATCATTAGTGAACGGAGTAATATAAAGCTTGGCAAATTCATTAAATAGATTCCCAAGAACTTCTAACTCTCATTATGCCAATGAAACAAACGGTTGTTTTAAACATTGAGTGATCATTATACTAAGTTACATTTAATGACGTCTTTAACGACTTACTGCAGTGAGACAAAAAAAATGGTAATCTTGAATTGATATTTAACTAAAATTTTCTGCCAATCTCTTCACAATATTTACAGTTAAGTATATGCGCTATTGCACATAATTTTCCTATAATTTGGCTTTCTTACAATTTTCTTACATCCTTAAAACTGAAAAGATAATTGTTTCTTCGTTCTACACTGAAAGAAATGCCCATTAATCTTTTATTAGTTTAACTAGAATACACACAACATGCCTCTAAGAAATAATGGTTACAATAAATTACTTATATATTTTTATAATTGTTACAGGCTTTACGTCATATTATAGTAGGCAAGATTTGTTGTATAAAGACCAATATACGAAATTGTTACATTAACAGAATTATTCGTTGTTTTTAAAACGTGTAAAACGCGTCTTATAGGTGATCATCACCTTTCGGTGTATAATGGTTATGATCGTAAAATATCCGACAGTTCGCTGTGCATCAACTATTACGCTTCTTCTAGTTGGATGAGCATAGACATATGTTTTGTGATATACATGATCACAAAGCGTTGTGTGAAGTGGGAAGTTATGTAAGTATCTATATAACTGCTTTATAGTCTACATTTTTTTTGTTTTTTTTCATATTTAAATATTGTAATACATTTATTATTATACCTACTTACTACTAGATGTTCTAATAACGAGTATGGAACTTTTGGTAACGGATATAAACAGCGTTGTGTACTACTTATACAATATTTTAATAAAGAGTATGGTTTCTAGTCACTATACAACTGTCTTAGCCAATACGCGTTTAATATCCAATATTCACCTGTTTATCTATCACATATGGTATACAATGTTCTCATAATATCATTAAATAAAGATAAAGCGCATTTCTTTCAATGTATTATCTATACCATAATATATTTATACCGCTTTAATATTTAGAAGTTATAGCTGTGAATATGGTAAATTTAATTTTGATTAGGTACATATTTGGAAGGGCATTTATATTTCTTTGTTCTTCTAGTTTATTTCAGTCAATGTTTGTCTGATTAATGGTTTCCGATACCTTGAAAGAAGCTATTTTTCATTGGGAAGTAACTTCATATAAATGATTTTGACGAAGTTATCATAAATTCTCCACGGCATTTATATGACACTTGGCTGTATATATTTTTTCAAGTTTTAGAGACATTAGAAATAGAAATTTACCAAATACAGTGCTTGTGAATATCGTAATTATGTTTTTCATTGTGAACTATTTACAAATATATTTTAAAAAAAATCTAAATAATTTCCGTACACTTTTTGTTCTACTTAACTTAATTTTGTTAGAGAAAAGTTAAAGATTAAAATTTAGGAACCTCTTCTTTACTAAAGATGTCTCAGTTTCTTTTAAAC